AATGTTGCAATTAAGGTGTATGTGCAGAAAATAGTCCCAGATAGTGCATGTTTAGATCGGAGAGAGAGCGAGAAAGGATCTATCTATCTGTAACCTTCTATATAGCAGATGCCATACAGAATACTTGATTATAGAATTATTTACCCCCCGTCAAAATGCAATTTCGATCAGAGATCCGCCATGAGATCAACGGCACTTGCTTATTTGCCGTTGATCAACTCCTCTCATTTCTTTTTTTCGCCCGTGGGCAGAAGAAAGGCTGCGACTGTCGCCTTGTAGGCTGATATTCACATTTTCTAACACAGGCCGGATTTTAAGATGAACACTGACTGCTTCTCTGAGCCGATTGCTTTAGGAGAGCCGTCGTTTTTATGATGTCTTACCTGGGGATCGTTATAATAGCAAGCGAATGTTTAGATCAGTGGGAATAGAATAAGAGCCTGCCAGCTCGTATAGATCCACGTATGACCTCAAGAACACTTCTCTCACCTGTTGTTGTTTACTCGCCTGAAGGGCTTCCATGAAGTGGCAGTTAGTGTTGCTCCTTTTAGATTTCAAGGAAGCTCTTCGGAGCACACACAGACCAAAGGAAAGCTTTGCACTTGCGACCTGATTAGAATAATTCTCATTAATCTGATGTGTGTTTTATTTCACCTGTTTAAATTATTGGCATTGATTTTGCAAAGACATTCCTATCAAAGATTACCAAATATTTAAGCATTCTGACAAATATGCTTATTCTATCAAAAGCTACATGAGAATACGGATGGCACTGTGTCTGTGCCCTAATTAAGAAGCTAGAACCAGAAGATACATAGCTTAGCTTAGCATAGGAAACAGTTAGCCTGACAATATCCACAAGCTACATGTAGAAAACCCTCCTGCCATCACCTATAAAAACTCCCTAATTAACCTGTTATGCATCCTTTCTTTAATGCGTATCCGTTGTTGTGCTATTGTATGTCAATATTATATTTCTAGAATACATTGCTCTTTACGAAATCAGCCAAAAACATTTCTACATGTATTATGTGTGCCTCCTTTTGAGCCACTATCTGACAATCAGTTCTGCCCCCATTAGAAATTGAATTGCTGGTTTCAAACAGCTGCACGGCATTACACGCTTGCCTTGCTGTGATTCAAATTAAATCCGTATCTTACTTAATGGTATTTTCCCTTTTGCCTTTAATTGTCATTGCAGCTATTTACAAATGACCTGTTCCCAAATAATTGTGTAGACACCCTGCTTGTGAGTGTTTCTTGTGAAATCAGCGCTCTTGTATATGGATCATGTTCCTTGTATCCACCTTTAAAGAGTATTACTAACTAATGAGGCATCTTAAAAGCACTGACATGGATTTAGCTGGCTAATGATTGATTTCATGACAGAGTGATTAACTGACAGGTTCAACTTAAAGAAAGCATACTTTCTTATGTGCACAAAGCTTTAAAGTGCACTCATAACCTTAAAAGCCTTCACGCTGACTACAGTCCACTGAATTGACTTGACTCGGTTATGGTTCAGTGCTTTTGTTCCTCTGCGCGGGGAGTTCATAACTCAATCCCATCCACTCCCTGACACAGTGAGGATGCACTTATCGCATTGTCAGCAGCACCAATCATTAAAAGCCCCTGGTTAAGTTTGCATGTTACCGATTCAACATTTTTAAATTACCTCACTCTTGCAGGCTCCAGCAAAGTCACGGTGGAAGGGCTCCCTGTGCAACCCCTCGCCCTGCTTTGACCATCAATCACGGCTGTCACGGCAGCTGTGCTCTCGCTCTTTGCTGGGAACTCACACCGGAGCTCTACATCATCCCGAGCTGTGATGAATACACCGGCCTGAGCTCAGGAGTTTTTGATTAGAATCTATCCCATCGACAGGAAGCATCATGGACGAAAGAGAACAACAGGTCTTTAAATGGGCCTATGCATTAAAAAGTCTTACAAAGTTGCAAAAGTATTTTCTTTCTTATAGTTGGACATTTTTTAGGACTGTTAAAAAAGGGCATTTATGTGTACTTTCTTAGATACTAGGCTAATTAGATTTCTGTCTGACTTGCTTGATCTCGTTCACTGTCGTAAGGCCTTGCATATCTAGGAAAAGCATGTGTCTAGTGTTGGAAACGTGTGGTGTGTATGTGTATGCATACGTTTTATTCAAGATACAAAACAGCTCATGAGTGCGGGGTGCTTTCATAATAGCTGGCCTTGCAAGGACCAAATCCGTTCAGTTGTACGATTGGTTTAGTCAAAGCAACATATACCAATAGAATACTTCTACTTTCCCATCACGTGCGTCCTTGGTAGTGCTCGCTTTGGATAAAAGCGTCAGCTAAATGCAATGTAATGTAATGTAATGTAATGCTTAAGTATTTTTGTAGGGCCACATTGTGCATCCAGGGTTTATTCATTTGTATTGTAAAGCAGTAACTCATAGAAAGTTAATACCTATTAGCTATTTCAGACCTGCAGGGTTCAGATGGTTTTGGATCTCATTTAGCTAGATTTAGACACAATTTAAAGATATGAGGCGTTTACTGTATAGCTTTACCTCAAAATGCTGTCATCATAGATACAGTACATTATTATACAAGGACAGTAGGAATCAAGCCCTAAGTCTGACAGGATTACAATTATTTTTAAGCTGACCTTACATGGATAAAAGTCCACTATAGAAGAAATCATGCTTAGTAGGTGCACATGTATCCCACACTAAGCCTCAAACTGAACTCTGTATGATTTGTTCTTAATATCCAACTGTCAAATAAATTAGAAAAACAACCAATAGTGTGGCGCTGTGTTGTCTATTCCTACTGAGATGTTCTCTTTCAGACACGTTACATTGTTTGCCCCTGCCCACCGCTCTTGGCTCGCAGCCTGTCTCCCACAAGGCTTTGTTCTTTGACATCGCCGACAACACAACTCCTAACTTCAACGAGAATGCCATCGCAACTCATTTCACGCCAGCACGTTAAGAATAGGTTATCTGCTGACGAAAGTTGTACCACCCTGCTTTGAACAATATTAAAGCACATGATTTGCTTTCAGTGTCAAACGAGAACACATTTTTGATTTGTGAGAAACGTACAAAAAAATCACAATTCTTGTCTGGCACAGTCACACCAACGTTGCCATGCCAACAGTGCCAATGTGCCAGCAAACTAATGCCAAATATAAGTAAAAAGTACAACATTTGTTTATGGATTCCAACCATTTCACTCTGGCTGCAGCAGACTTATGTTAATAGTGACGAGCTTATAAGAAATCTTTCATAACAGGGTAAAAAAACACATCAAGTCATGCACAAGATACATGTTGAACTCACCATGGCGTGAGCTTTCATTTGCATTTAATTACTTAATCATTTATATGAGTCCTGATTATAATATTGTGCTGCTGATTCATGATAATAGCCTTCAAATTTGTAGGAACCCATTAGCCTTTGTACGGAGGAGATTCATGTTCACACAGCAAAAGCCATTTGGGTGTAAATACGAGCATGCACACAGCTCTTATACAAGTTATAGAACTTCTTGCATCATCATGTAGGTGCTACTTTATCAAGGGTATCTACCTCTCATATCAGCAGTACACAAAGTCATTTCAGGCGAGATATTATTTAGGACATCTACTCTCCTCTCTTTGATGCCTCTCAGGGGAGCCAGCCACAGTCCTTTCCAGAGGGACGCAGCAAACACCCCCCATTTCTATCTATTCCGCAGAGTTCCACAGATACCCATCCCCACAGGATAAACCAGCGTTAATGCGATTACAGAGCTAGAGACTTTACGATAATTCAATGCTTCTCCACAGCTAAGTTTGGAAATGCGACATGGATGCCACATCCGCTTATTGTCGCACCCTGCATGCTAAAGAGAGCATAAAAGTTGACTTATTACCACACAATACTGACTAAGTGGCAAATCTCGTCGGACATGGCGGCGCACCATATGCTAGATTTAATTCGATTTTCTCTTCAGGCTTTAGTTAAGTGCTTCTAAAGTTTTCTTGTCCCACAGCAAGAGGGTAAGAGGGCAGCCGAGGCTTTGATTTTGATTTGCTCTTTCAACAAGAGGCAAATAAGCCATGATTTGGTAAAAATACAGAGCGCTCACAGCTACACGGCAGCATTAGCAGGCTGGAGTATTTGGTGCAAAACTGGATTAAGCCTAATCCTACTGTACACTAATTTCGCTCAATGCAGATCTCTTGTAAAGTTGTGTTTTCTGGGACTATAGGCTTAATCCGGGTATTTGTAAGAGGTGTACAAATGAATGTTTGCTTGATTTTATTTGACTGACTTTAATACCCACTGGACTAAGTTTAAAGGTAATCTTCATGGGGAATACTGTATATGTAGCATTATGAGCTGAATCAGACCCAATCTGTCAATGCAGAGGATAAAAGAGAAATATTATTACAGCAGGTATTCAAGCATCTCCCCATTGAAAGGGAGTGGGGGTAGGGGCAATGTGGTGCTAATAAATACATATATTCCTGCAGTGCTGACAATTCTGCAATCATGTGAAGGCTGTCTGGAGGAATATCTCTCCAGCCTGAATAATGAAGAGACATGATGAATCCAGGATGAGTGTCAGGCCAATATTCAGCTGCTTCCCACTTCTCTCCAAGGAAATCAAAGGCTCGTATAGAGAATAATTCAAAGTGTTGTAGTGATAAAAGAAGCGCTTGACGTGTCCAGTTGTGCATCTCAAAAGCATGGAAATAAGATGCACAGCAAGGTAGCAGCAGCAAAAAAAGCCCTGAGTGACAAATCAAATGGTTGTTGCTGGTGAATTGAAATACACTGAATTACAAAGCCTGCCAAGCTGCCTTTTTCATCATGGTGCTGCCCTCTACGGGTCTTCTTCCTGCCTTCCTTTTCCCTGGTTCCCCCCGCTCCCGTCCCCCGTCCCCCCCCCCCCCCCCGTCCCCCCCCCGCGCCACTTCCCTCTCTCCCATCCCACCTCCTCCACATTACCATACCCCCTTAAAGAGTATTGCACGCATTAAATTGCTTTTCATTTCCGCGCTGTGACAGTCCTGCGATTGGGGGATTTATGCATTTTTACGAGTTATTTGGGCCGTCATACTATGGTAATTGTTTCATAATACGTCCATCGCTGTAGGGGATGCGCTGGTTTGCACCAACCAAGATCAAGTTCCACTAGTTGAAACGTCGGTGGGAAGATACAGCTTGTGTGCATAGGATTTCTTATGAGCAATGGAAGGCTGGAAAAAGGGGATCGGATTCTCGCATCCACGGCTGCTGGAGGAACATATCCACTGATCTGCGGTCGATTTGAACGCTGTGGCAACTGAAATAAAGAGACCTTGGGCAGATCTATACACAAACTGGTACAAGCCGCACCACTGGCAGCAGACAAGGGGATTCGTGCCTCTCCTCCGCTTCTTCAGTGCGCATGGATGAAAGTCACAGTTAAAATGCATGCGGCAAGTCTTGTCTGATGTGGGATTACCGAGTTTTTATTCGACCCCTTTTCTTTTACATGTTCGAACTTTGGTTGTGGCTCTTTTTCCGAGATGATACAGCTAATCTCAGTGGCTGCTGGAAGAATACAGGAGCCCGTTTCGCCGCTCGGGCTGTCACGTTATTGGCCTGAATGAGACTGTGTTCTTCGAAGCCCGGTTTATGGAGCTAAACACCGAGGAGACTTGACTTTAAGTATTTTTGTTTTCAACAGCAGACGGAGGGCGGGCGGTTAAATCACTGAATTCCATGTTTTCACTGAGCTTGGAGGAAAAAAACCGGGGCACAGACGTGATTGTCGGGATGCTTTGGCGTTTACCGGGATCAGCACGGTAAGAGGACGGAGATTTTTCTCATTCATGTGCTTTACATTCTGGGGATCTGTCCGTGGTGCTGAAATCGGTTACAGTTTTATTGCTGAAGTTGATCCAGATTTAAGATTCAAGGTGTCTGCGGATGCAATGGTAATAACAAGCCTGCATTTGTATGCTCACATATATCAGTTGAATTCGTTCCAAATAACAGCCATACTGTCTCTGCATGCCCGGCAATACACGCTTTAGAGTTATACTATGTCCAGAGGCGATTGGCATTCCTTGACGGTATGGTAATAAAGTCAAATGTAATAAATAATGACATATAAGTGGGTGCACTCGTGAGCTATTGCAACCATACATGTTCCTGTATGTTAAAATGCACCTATTGATGGTGATTCGATGTGTAGGCTTTTGTGTTCTTTTTAAGGAGCGCACACAAACCAAACGAGTGTGTTTGTGAGTGCGTGTTTGGGTGCACGCGCACTCACGCGTCTGTGTTGGAGAGAGGGGGAGACGGAGAGAGAGCGAGAGAGGATCTATCTATCTGTAACCTTCTATATAGCAGATGCCATACAGAATACTTGATTATAGAATTATTTACCCCCCGTCAAAATGCAATTTCGATCAGAGATCCGCCATGAGATCAACGGCACTTGCTTATTTGCCTTTGATCAACTCCTCTCATTTCTTTTTTTCGCCCGTGGGCAGAAGAAAGGCTGCGACTGTCGCCTTGTAGGCTGATATTCACATTTTCTAACGCAGGCCGGATTTTAAGATGAACACTGACTGCTTCTCTGAGCCGATTGCTTTAGGAGAGCCGGCGTTTTTATGATGTCTTACCCGGGGATCGTTATAATAGCAAGCGAATATATTCTTTATCCTCATGTTGTTTACACGGAGGTGGAGGGAGGTCTCCGACAGTTTCCCCACTGTTACCAAGTCGTCGGTTATGCGGGGTGAGTGATAATCTTTCTGGCTGGGAGATAGGAGTTGGAGATTTTAATGTTAGTTTGTTTGAAAGATTAAATCTGTAATTAAAACAAAATGCAACATCATCAAGACGCCATGATACATTTTGAAATCGAGCCTTTTTGTGGAAAATTCTCAAGGGATTGAATTAGTGAATGACCAGATCCATCAGTCTGCACACGGTAGATGGCAAGATAGATTGGAATTCAGGCGAGCTATCAGAAATGCGCAGTGGCCATCCACTACGGGTAGTTGTGTTATCAACTTCATTATATATTATCGTTTAAGTGTGTTTTTATGAATTATTCATCTGGGTTGCTTGTTCTGTGACAGCCTCAAAAACAAAATGTTGCAGACATAACACATCTGCATAATGAACAAACATTAATAGGCCCACTTGTATTTGCCTTTGTGTTTGTTATTAATAGTTGTTGTGCTCTGTTTGGAGTCCATTGCTATGCATTGTGTGTCACATATGCATTGTTATCCGTGCTATTTAAAACAGAACTCGTCCTTTTTTTTTCTTCTTCCTTAGATGACACCTCATACTGGTACCGAACTTGAGTGAGCTGGGGCATCCTCTCCCAGGAAAAATGCATATCTGGATCCTAAAAATAATCCTTCTGATTGCATCATCTCTGAGGCTGATCGAGATGTATGACAATTATGGGGAGATCTGTCGAAACCTGTGTACGTGCGAGGAGAAGGAAGCGATCCTGACGGTGAGCTGCGAGAACCGGGGCATCGTCAGACTGACGGAGATCAGCCCGGTCCAGTTCTCCATGTACCACCTCCTGCTCACAGGGAACCTCCTGAAGAAGCTGTCTCTCAATGATTTCATCAATTACACAGGAGTGACCATCCTGCACTTGGGGAACAATGATATCTCCGAGGTAGAGTCGGGTGCCTTTAATGGACTCCAGGGATTAAAAAGGTTGCACCTGAACAACAACAAGATTGAATCCCTGAGGGATGACACCCTTGCAGGACTTGAGAGTTTGGAATACCTTCAGATTGATTATAATTACATTACCAATATAGACACTAATGCCTTGAGCAAGCTACACCAACTGACAGTGATGATATTGAACGACAACATGCTCTCTACCCTTCCCACCAATATCTTTCGGAATGTCCCCCTCACGCACTTGGATCTAAGGGGGAACCGGTTAAAAATGTTCCCCTACATCGGCCTCTTGGAGCACATGGACAAAGTTGTGGAATTACAGCTAGAGGAGAATCCGTGGAATTGCTCCTGCGAGCTGATTGCTCTGAAGGCTTGGCTGGAGAGTATAGCCTACACGGCTCTGGTGGGGGAAGTGGTGTGCGAGACGCCATTCAGGCTCCATGGTAGGGACCTAGATGAGGTATCCAAGCAGGAACTCTGCCCAAGAAGACCCCTAGAAGACTCGGTCAGGCCTGCACCTCCTAGCAGCACCAATGGATATTACCAGACCACACCTGCTGCCGTCACATCCTCCGCCACCTCCTCTGCTGTTTTTAGGTCCTCCTCTAGGCCTACCAAGGGCACGCGGCCATTCAACAGAACTAGGTTAAAGCCCACATCCAGAATCCCAGGCGGTAACCCTTACAACTATGGCCCCATCATCGCTTTTCAGACCAAATCTCCTGTGCCTTTGGACTGTCCAGCTGCCTGCACATGCAACCTGCAGATATCTGAGATTGGGCTAAATGTCAACTGCCAAGAGAGAAAGATTGAAAGCATTTCTGATCTAAAACCCAAGCCATACAATCCTAAAAAAATGTATCTCACTGGAAATTACATCCCTGTGGTACGGAGATCAGATTTTGTGGATGCAGTTGGATTGGATTTGCTTCACCTGGGAAACAACAGGATAAGTCTCATCCACGACCGGGCTTTTGGGGATTTAACCAACCTACGTAGGCTGTATTTAAATGGTAATCTCATGGACAGGCTTACAGGAGAAATTTTTTTTGGTTTGCAGAACTTGCAGTTTCTTTATTTAGAGTACAACAAAATCAAGGAGGTTGATGCCGGTACTTTCCGCTACCTCCCTAATCTCCAGCTGCTTTTCCTCAACAACAACCTCCTGAAAACCTTACCTGTGGACATTTTTTCCACCCTCTCCCTGTCAAGGCTTAATCTGCGCAACAACCATTTCCAAAACCTGCCTGTGAGTGGTGTTTTAGACCAGCTGAAGCTGCTTCTTCAGATAGATTTGTTTGAAAACCCCTGGGACTGCTCTTGTGACATAGTGGGGATGAAGATATGGCTGGAGCAGCTCAGCGCAGGCACTGTGGTTAATGAGGTCGTGTGTGAAACACCAAGGCGCCACACAGGAGTGGACGTGTGCTCCATTCAATCAGAGCACCTGTGCCCAGACTACTCTGACGTGAACACCTTGCCAACACAGCCTACGGAAGAGCCCATGGATGACCGAGTGGTAACTACAGACGCCCCGCAGAAGTTCAACACCCCCAGCAGCACCGTGCCCCTCTCCGTCCTCATCCTCAGTCTCCTGCTTGTTTTCATCATGTCGGTCTTTGTGGCCGCGGGGCTGTTTGTTGTGGTCATGAAAAAGCGTAAAAAGTCGCAGAGTGACCGCACGAGCACCAACAACTCTGACGTCAGCTCGTTTAACTTGCAGTACAGCCTCTACAGCAACCGCTCCGGGCCCAAAGTAAAGGCCCCAGTGGGACACGTTTATGAGTATATCCCACACCCCATGGGACACATGTGCAAAAACCCCATTTACAGGTCGCGGGAAGGCAACACAGTGGAGGATTACCGTGACCTCCATGAGCTCAAGGTCACATACAGGAGTACCCCGGATGATGAGAGGGATAGCAGTACAATGAGGAGCCCTGCGTACAGCGTAAGCACCATCGAGCCCCGTGAAAACCCCTCCCCTGTCCCGGATGCTGACCATTTCTTCAGAGGCATCCTTGAGCATGATAAGCAGCCTCCCCCCCACCCTTCTATCCAGTCCATCCCAGCAGGTGCAAATTTAGAGTACAAGTACACAGGGCCTGTGTCGTACACGTACAACCCCAATTTTGATGTCAGACGTCAGTTTTTGCACCCGGAGAGGATAAGAGAAACAGTGCTCTACGGCACGGCACCCAGTACTGTTTATGTCGAGCCAAACAGAAATGAGTACTTGGAGCTAAAAGCGAAATTGCAGTCTGAGCCCGATTACCTCGAAGTTCTTGAGAAACAGACCACCTTTAGCCAGTTCTGAGCAACAGAATCATTAATGTAATGAAGCATTTTCTCTCTTGCCCCCTCTTGAAACAGTGGCTCAGTTTATAGGGTGCCTTGGCACAACACACACACACACACAAGCAAAAGCGATGGAGTTTAAAATGGGGTGTGCCGAACAATCTTATTGTTATTTCTGAAACATGACTTTACAGGAATGGATACAGCTTTCTGAAACATGGATGAACAAAATTGCTCTGCTTAACTGATGATGCTAAATCTATTTTTCTATGGTGAAGATCGAATAACACACACAATGTAAGTGTACAGGTCAATCTTACCCAACTTCATTTTCAGGAATATAACCATACATAAGGTATATTGTGAATCAGAAAAGAAATGTTTATAAAAATCACTCCTGGACAAAAACACTGTACAGCAGATCCTCAAAACTGTGTAGGACTATTTTCTGCTATAGTCTGTAAGTAAGTATTTATTGATATAATCTGCCATGTCTTTTCAAAACTTTTGATTCTACATCAATATTACCTGTGTCATCATACTCCATGATCCTCTGGAAAGGCTTATGTTTGTAGTTTCATTTACTGTAGCTCTGCATTGTAAAAGTGGCTTTTTTTGAAAGTGGCACACCCCCAATGTTCAAAGAAGACTGCGTCATTTGAAGAAGATGAAGAAAAAAAAGTGTCTTTGTATGCTTTCTGCACTTTTTGGAATTGGAAGGCTGGTTAGCCTTCAATGAGCTCTCATAAAGGAGATTATTATATTAAAAATGAATATGGGTATTCATTCTTAATATGTAGAATTGATATGTTATCAAAACGAAAAATTCATAAATGATATTTGAAGTAATAATTCTGTTGTGTAATACTGATATTTTACTCAATGTAACACCTATTTTTATACAAGCGTCCGCAGATTCTCTATTCCTTATCAACTCCATTTGTTTTGATTGCTTTGCACTTATTGCACTATATTGACCAAACTATGTTATTGTCATCAAATAAACATGATGTCAGGTTCATATAATGTGCTTATGAGGAAACTAAGCCTGTTTAGTCATAATATAAAACAATACTTTGGGAGAAAACACATTTTCAGATTAAGATGACATTAAGAAAACAGTGTGACTTGAAAATGAGTGGGCAAAAATACATTTTATTTAGAAAGCAAACGGCAATACATTGGCGGTGGACTCAAAGCAGATACAGTATACACTGTAAGCCTCACTCAAAGAGCATCCAGGCCAGGATTAGAATCAATGGGTTTTAATCAATGAGCATTATCCGTGGCAACCCCTTTGCAATCATACCATGACAACAGCATCCACATTGCAGCCAGGCAAGCGATAATTTGATAATTTATATCATTAAAGTTCACCTGATATCAAATTATATTTAAGCAATCAAAGGGTATAATCTTCGACACTCATTAAAAGCTGCTGGATTAAGGGTTGGGTGTCAACCATCTCTCTTTGGTTTTAATTCGTGAACATCTTTTAGATACATGTTGTAACTAAGGAAAAGGATCTTCACAGAATGTGTGGTAAAAGCTGCTTTTTTGTAAAACAATTTTGTAACTGAAAATCACATTAACCATCCCTTTTTCTTGTCAAAAATGTGGTTTTATTTTCAAATGTATTAATAGTTTTCATTATTTAATAGAAGATAAAAAAGTGTTTGAGGGAAATAACAGAAACCTCCTTTCTCCCAGCTGGCTCGTGGGGCGCGTGGGTGTCTATGTTTGATTGACAGCAGTGTTGCACCTTAGAGAGCCACAGCCAGAGTAACCAAAACATGCTGTTTAATGTGCTGCAGCTGATCGGTTAATGAGCTCTCTCGCCCAGTTAATGTTTGTTTGGCGGCTCATTCTACAAGCTAAGTGCAGGACTTGAGGTGTTTGGATAAGAAGGAGGATTTAGCAGGAAAGCTAATGTGGGTTTTTTGTTGCCTGTCGCTCGTGCGTTGCGCAACCATCTGCTCTGCAGGATTTGATTGGCTGCGTCGAAATGAGGTCTACGCAGACACACAGAATATTGGGTCAAAGAAAACAAAACAAGAAGTGGCCGTCCCATTTATTCTATTTTCTGTAGCAAACATGATGCAATTTAATTTCCGTTGGACTTTAAGTTGACCCACTTAAATTCAATATGCAAATAAGGTCTATAAAAACACAAAGGGTGCACTGTGCCACCATTTAGGTATTGCATTTGTGTATGTTCCCTTAAAGAGACAGGCATACCAGTGTTAATATATCCCCTTTTCCTCATTCAGAACAGATTATTGTGAATTTAGGATCAGATGTGCTATTATTTTTCACTTAATAGCATCTAGGTGCCAGCTGCCTTTTTTTTCTATTACAAAAAAAGCAAAGAAAAAAGGAAACTGAGGTCCTGCTTTTGTTGGATCTTTTCACAGAAGCCCAGAATGAGAACAGAAGGCACCATTTGGGAGATGAGGAGTCCTGGAACCGAGTGTAACTGTGGATGTGTCATACATGTAGCGAGGGATGTGAATCATAGCCAAGTGTGCAGTCGCCCAGTATTGGTGGCCTATTGGATGGCGCAGTGTTGACGGTTTTCTGACACATATTTGTGTTGTTTTGAGGGGAACCAAAACTCAACAATTAATTACTGAGGTGCAACAAATAACGGATAATTAACAAACCTGATCTGTGGAAGGAAAAAGTATTTAAATCAGTAATCTATTCTCACATTTTAAAGGAAGATTTGTCTCAGAATGAGTACAATTACATAATCACTGAGTCATGCATTCCAAATGGGCTTGTGTTACTGTGTCTGTGTACGTACTTTCTTCCCACCCAAATTTGTCAGTGTGGATGTGTATCAGTGTTCTGACCCAGCACACTGTCCCAGAGTAATGGCTGCATGAAGCAATCCACTGCAGGAGTGTGTGTGTGTGCCAGTTGAAATAATGCTTTTAATCAGCCAATGGGCTCTTTAGGTCTTAGCACAAATGGAAGCATCAAGGAAGGGCAAAGAGTTTATTATGCCTCTGTGGATTATTTAATGTACAGCCTTTCATGGGATGTGTGTGCCTGTGCAACTCTCACTCTCGCTTCCTGGAAAAAGAGTGCTCCAGATCTGTATTCTAAAAAAATAAAAGGGAAGAGGTTATAGGAGGAAATATCTCTGCATGTGTTGCCTCATGCTTCACAAAAAGCCCCCCTGATTTATGGCTGAAGCTATTGTGTGGAATCTGATGAGGGGCTGATGCAAGGCGAGGCATGATGGAGGTGCAGATCACCGCTCGATGCGAGGAAAGTTGAGAAAGTTACTTCTTGGCTCGGAGCTTAGAAAAGCGCAACACATTTTCATATTTCTGTCATATGAAGCGCTGGGAGGGACAGCGATGGGCAGCGTGTGTTCCAGTGTTCTCCTACACTCTCTGCTTTCGCACCATTTGAGACTTAATCAATGGGGAATTGTACAACGCGTGAAATCTGTCCAACTGCACCAATTGTTGGCTCCTCACTCGGCTATTTTCACTGCACTGATTTAAACTGGGAGGCAACCATTTTCTGTGCTGAAAATACCAGGCAAATTAAACATTTAGCTAGATTGGATTTGGCTGTTATTTGCTCAAAATCGTATTGTATCTCTCATGAGTTGGTGCTGGCAGAACATTTTGTTTATGGTAAATAAAAACAGCTTGAGGCTGAATGCGCACAGGGCTGGATTACGCTGCTGAGGTTTGGTATTGTGTATGCACCATGTCATACAAACTAAAATATTAAAAGGCATTTCATTAGATCTTACAGCCCATGGATAAGACTAGGCTTCAAGATTGGGTGGTGCAACCGTAAGGCAATTTCTCTTTTGGTTATATTGTGATTCGGTGGTGTACAATTCCAAATAAATTTGCAATTCATAAAATGACCACAAAGTTATTGCAAAACAGTCCGCCTAAGGGTCTGGATCTTTGCAGTTTATAATCCAGCCTTGCAAGGTTTGAAAAGATATGTGCTTTTATGTAAAATAGCAAGAAATAAGCAAGGGTCTGGCATGCATAATCTCCCAAAAAATACTGTGTTATTTATTCGTTATTTTATTTTTATGGGTATGTTTGATTTGTTGATCAAGAAAATGAGCAGTACAGATAAAGGACTGATTTAACATTACAGTACAGTGTGTCGAAAGAGCCAAAACAATTTGTTTCTCCCTTTGATTGGTCGAAAATCAATTATCTGTTTTTAAGAATGAATTTAAGGGTGTTTTTCAAACATGTCAAACATTTTCTGCTTGCAGCTTTTGAAATGTGAGGATTTGCTGCTTCTTCTTCTTCTAATATGATGATAGTAGGCTATGTTTTAAGACAAGACTAAAATAAATAGAAATCTGCATATTAATTAAATAAGTTAGAGTTTCTAGATGTTTATACTGAGTGACCAGATACTGAAGCAACCTGAATTTTTATTTTCAACCTGTCCACAACTTTGGGCTGCACCCACTGACACGGCAACAATAAATGATAATTAGGCTAATACGCGGCCGTCCTCTGTGTACTGAGACGGATAGAGGGGGTGGACATATGCTCGAGCCTCGCATCACCTCCCCCCCCCCCCCCCCCCCGCTGGAGATCCTTCGTCCTCAGCGCAGCCTCTTCGCTTGCCTGCCACCCGGCCTCATGATGATGTGAGCAATTGAGTTCAAGGAGATCTGGGTAATTGAGAGGGCAGGGATGGCATCTGACAGGCACCGATGGCTCCAATGATTACTTTAATCAGAGTGGTTAATGGAACTCCTTCAGGCATGTAGAAATGCTCAAATGTTCATCAGCACTCAACCAATTTTTACCCCCACAACCTCCTCCTCTCTTACCCCATGTCGCCATAATTACCAATATTTTATATTCATGCTTCCAGTTTGTGCATTACACTCTGTAGTCTTGTGTAAATCCAATTCTGGTGCGAGGATATCGCATTGTTTTATGGTCAAGATGCATTATGTATGAAGTGTTGTTAGCATGAAATGTCATGGCAAACCTGTTAACATTTAAAGGGGTAGTCAAGGACTCACTTATAGTAAAATCCGTATAAAATCAAGCACATAAATACAGAAAGCACTCAAGGTTTATAAATAATGAAGGGGTTTCGAATCAGGACGAAGACAAGGCTGAGCTTTTTATTTGTCCAGGATAAAAAACATTATCATCTAGCTTCTGCAGTAATATCTAATCCGCCATTAGATACCAACCCTTCCTTGTTAACATTGTGGTGCAATCAGCCTCTCAGTTAACACTCCCACTGTCCAGCCTGTGCTGAATAAACTTTAAGGTATAATCCATCACATTTAAAAGTGCAGTCTGGATCCTGCCATCTGCCGAATAAACATGCCCACTGTGGCTGGCTGGCTATTATTCTATTCATTTAACTGGTGTGAGAACATAATACCCTCTTGTGATGCACATGCTAAAACAATGTAGCAACAACATTTGATTTTGGATAGATTTGTTTTTCAAAATGAGTATATGTTTGGGTATGTTGTGGTAAATCTGAATGTTTTATATCAAATATTGATACGTATTGATCCTGTAAATCAATTTTCTACAATTTTTTTATGAATTGTGTGCATTTCTTTCTTGAGATAAGTCATGATAACAACTAGATTATCAGAACAGCACTTGATGTGTACTTTGATCTTCGAGCATTTGATCCAAAACCAGCACTTCAAAAATGTTCTGCTTGCATTTAAATATGCTATTATGTACACCACTACATACACTGAACAAAAATATAAACGCAACACTTTTGTTTTTGCTCCCATTTTTCATGAGATGAACTCAAAGATCTAAAACATTTTCTATATACACAAAATAACCATTTCTCTCAAATATTGTTCACAAATCTGAAAAAATCTGTGATAGTGAGCACTTTTCCTTGGGGGTCTGGGGGGGTCCGAAAACCAGTCAGTATCTGGTGTGAGGGTTAGGGTTAGGGCAATGTTGTGAATCGAGTGGCCCATGGTGGTGGTGGGGTTATGGTATGGGCAGGCGTATGTTATGGACGACGAACACAGGCCACTCGATTCACAACATTACCCTAACCCTAACCCTCACACCAGATACTGACTGGTTTTCGGACCCCCCCAGACCCCCCCAATAAAGCAAAACTGCACGTTTCAGAGTGGCCTTTTATTGTGGCCAGCCTAAGGCACACCTGTGCAATAATCATGCTGTCTAATCAGCATCTTGATATGCCACACCTGTGAGGTGGGATGGATTATCTCGGCAAAGGAGAAGTGCTCACTATCACAGATTTTTTCAGATTTGTGAACAATATTTGAGAGAAATGGTTATTTTGTGTATATAGAAAATGTTTTAGATCTTTGAGTTCATCTCATGAAAAATGGGAGCAAAAACTAAAGTGTTGCGTTTATATTTTTGTTCAGTGTATATAACATGTAATTATGTGAGAGAAAGAGTGAAAGTAGCTGATTTCCTCCCTCAGATGGAAATAATGGGAATTTCAAGAACCTGTTATCCTGCAGTTAGCATTTACTTTCTCCCGGTCCAATCTGAATTGTAGATAATGAAGTTGCGATGGAGATGGAAATCCTGAATACGAGATGATTACCATCAGAGAGCTATAGATGTCATGTGTACAATACTCTATTTACAGTGCTGTAGTGTTTCCACCTTCCAAGAGAAAAAATCAAAGGATAAGCTGACTGGTTGAATACTCAGCAGCACATGTGTGTGATCAAAGCGTTCAGAGAGGTATCTTAATGTCAGTGCCTCTGTGGTTGGAAGGAGATAGGGAGACGCTACAGTGCGTTCTGTCATGCTTTATTTTTTTTGCTATGGTTTTGCTTTCTGTCTATTTGCCCCCCCCCCCCCTTACTCCTGTTCCCACCGGGCAAACTGGTTGTATTCATCAGGCCTCACGTTTTGTTTGTTTGTTTATGGCTGCTGCACCCGTTGATCCGGAGCCGCAGTAACCCTGTCGTTTGATAAATGGCAACCATAGCATTACTGACTCCCCAGCCGAGCCTGGCGTCGCCCGGCCAAAAAAACAAAACAACAGGTTGATGTATGGCTTCCTTCAGAGTGTCAAGTCATTTAACTAAAGCCCGTGCAGGCAGCTCCTGTCTACGTCTGCTTTGGAATCCTGCCATGTCCCACCCCGCCTCATGTGCGTCATCATATCACATGCAGAGCGAGACAAAATAGGGTCGATAAGGCATGAAAAAAGCATGGTTCGGAGGTTATTGTCGGGAAATGATGATGTGCGGAACAAGGTCGAGTCGGGGAGCGTCACTGTCAGGATTAAGGACGAACAGGAGTGGAAGAAGTTTGGAGGTCGTTAGAACTATCATGAGACAGATTTAAAGACAAATACAGTTCCTGGTTTGGGTCATGCTCTAAAAAGACATGGCTTCCACACTTATGCATTTGAAGGTATATTTGATTAGATAGTGCCTCCATGTGTTTAAAACTCAATGCCCTTGACCCTAAATGCAGGTATAGTCGAGGGTTAGGGCCAGTAGTGTGTATTTATATTCTCAATTTCTGATACAAACAGACATATATCGATTCTTTATATATGACTCATTTTTTGTAATTTCAAAATGCACGTCCTCCATCTGTGTGACGTTGTTACCACAGGCTTTTTAAATGACTTGTCCAACACCATTTAAAACACTTTCTGGTATATTGTTTTCCTTACAGGTCCACTCGATTTCTCTTTTAAAGAAAATGTGTTTACATAGTGTGAGTTTGGCTCGCAATTAGACGCCCTATTGTTATTGGTGAAATTGGTTTCTCTCAAAGTGTGTGTGCGTTTCTAAGACTGATGGTTTGAAAGAGCCAGATAATGCGTGTGTGTGGGTGGCTTGTGCACGTCTTTGTGGGTCCGTGCGCGCGCGTTAACAGGTTTCTGATTTACTGTAAAATTCCACTCGTTAGCTCTCTTTCTTCCTTCTCTATCTCTGCTGCTCCCTTTCTCTCCTGTCCCCATTTTGTTTCTATCGCAGCGGCTTTGGCGAGGAGTCTGCAGAAAGCGGTCCTTGCTAAAGGAATTAGACTGCGTGCTGGGAGATCGCTCCGATAATGAAATGGTGGGAGGTAGAAAAACTCATTTTCTCACTTGTTAGAGGGAGAAATACTAATGTGGCTTTTGGAAGTACAACTGAATAATACTGTCAGGGGAAAAAAGACATTCCAACAATTATTCTAGCTCGAGAAATATAGACTTGGTTTAAGGGTGACATTTGGGCTTGGTTTAACTGTTTAAAATGGACTTGCCATGATGGGAAAACTGTTGTTTTGCATCTGTCCTCCTCCCAGAGTACACTGAGCGACAGTTTGCTTGTGTACGGACAATAGCTAGGCTGAAGTTGTCAGTGTGGGTGTGCTTGTTAAAAAAAGGCTCCCGTGGAGGGGCTCTCAGCAGAGTTGACGTCAGCTACTTGTGATGTTCTCTGCACTGTACCATGAGTGTGTGTGTGTGCGTAGGAAATATTGTACATTTCACACTAAATCTTTATATCTGCAGACGCCTTCTTGTGTATCACGTACATCTGTGCACAGTGTATCAATACTGGCATCGAGCCACACACTCTGAAAAGATGGACAATTATGACGGCTTTTTGTACTGAACCCTCTCAGTTTGTTCTGCTTCCTTTACTGACATTCACCTGTTAAAATTGCCAAATCATGCACCTCGAAATTATAGCTTTTCATACTATAATGTTATTTTCTGCAACATTTAAAATACGCTGACACGTTGCTTTGACCTCTTCCTATTTTGAATACAGAAACAAATCATTGTTTCAAAAGCCTTGCAGCATTATTTACTCTTATAAACAATCGTATTTAATTCACAGCCTCAGTATTTCTGGCCCTGCTTCCTTTTCACAGACTTACACCAGCCTGGTTTGATGAATTCTCAACCGTTCTTCACAAATCATAGCACTTAACCTCCAGTTTTACCCAACACATCCACAGATGTACATTAACCTTGCCTTTCCCCCCCTGAAATCCCCAAGCAGCCGCTCTCTTTACACACCTGGTGCAAACAGTAGGAACACCTTGTATCTCATTTGCCACATTAAAGTGTGTTAACAGGAGGAATTAGCACTAAATTAAACCACCAGAGATTCCCAACTCATCAAACTGCCAAGACGTTATTATATACTCCATATAAATGTGTAAGTATCATGGGAGAATGTGGTTATTGAATTATGCCAAAATTAAACCATTAGCAGAGAAGAATCAATCTAACCAACTGGAAACGGCAATGAAACTCCGCTCTGTGAGAAAGTACATTTTCGTTTTGTGAGAGACGTTTTGAAGGGCACTGTAAAGCGGTTTTCTTTTGCGCTCGGCACTTTGCAACTGACTTATATG